ACTGAAATACTTTTGGCCTCGCAAGGCAACCAATATTTCTGAATATGTTATGAAATGTAGTGCTTGCATGCAGCACAAAGGAAATGTTAGTGGACTAAATCCAATCCAAGTGTATTCCACTACTAGCGAGCCTTGGGAAGGGGAAGCGCTAGATTTGTTAACTAATTTCCAGTGTTCCCGCCAGGGCAACAACTATCTTTGTGTAGTGGTAGACCATTTCACCAGATACTGTGAGTTAGTTCATATAGCAATAAGATTGCCGAGACAGTAGCTAAAGCGTTTAAAGAACGCAGAATCTGCAGGCATACTACTCTTAAGACGTCTCTCTTAACAGATAATGAAGGTGAATTCTGCAATGAGATTCTTGAAGAGTTGTGTACTTTGTGTAAGATCTCTAAGTCAGCCATTGTCCGTCACCATCCTGGCAGCAATGGTTGAGCGGAGAGAACCAACAAGAAAGTGCTCGATGTTTTGAAGCAACTATTAATTCCAATAGTGTAGCCTGGGACGATGTTATACCTGATGTACAGTGTGCTATAAATTCTGCTTACAAAGCCTCTATAGGGATACCCTTCATTATGCATTATATGGTGTACATAAGCATTTACCGTATAAGTTGTTATATTCCACTCCAAAACCGAATTATAATACAGGTGATTTTGTAGTGACTCAAAGTGTCTTCAGAAGAATCCGAGAAACACTTCATAAATCAATGGCAAAATTTACAAGAGTCACTAACACTCGAGCAAATCCAACCAAAATTAAAATAAGCTGGAGAGTTAATTAATTAATTCCTATAAAACATCCGCAATGCCAAAGCTCGACCAAAAGTTTGTTGGTTCCTACCAAGTAGTTGAGCGTGTGAATGGTAACATAAAGTTAGAGAAATTAGTACTGGTCAATATAAGGACTCGCATTTAGATCATATTCAGTTAGTATGTGATGATGAGATTCCTGGCACCCAGACGAGTGAGCCAAACTCTGACAATCCTCCTGACCCAGTACCATCTACCTCTAACATCCTGACTGGTGTACAGCCTAACTGTCGTTATTCTCTACTTACACAACAAGTGATGAGGAATCCTTAAGTTTCAGTTGCTAAAGTTAATGCTGATCCTCCGCAGTCATGGTACGTGTCAGCTGTTGCCACAGAATTTGACCTCCTAGAGATGATGACCACTCTGCATATGTAAATCTCACCCTAGCAGAGTTGGGGATAAATAACTTGTATAGATGATTAGTATAGATGATTAGTATAGTCCAATGAGTACTCAACTGTGTGTGACAAGCCTTACAGTAATTCACTTTAGCTGTGGATAAATTTTTTTTAAAGTGTTCATGTCTCCGAATTCTAAGATTTAACAGTAGAAATCTCATGTGCACCGTGCTTGTCTTCTCTCTTAAACACCTTTTTCATGGTAAATAAGTGTCCTCAGAATACATAGAACCCACGAATAATGTTTGATCAATCTCATTTGTCGACATGTAATCTCATTAATTTCTGTGATTCACCATGATTTGTAATGCATTATGTTCAAACATGTCCTATGTTTGTTGTGTACAACGTTTTCTTTGCATTGTAAAGAATCGACCCAGAGCCTGAAACGTCTGACATTTGTTTTTTGTATACGTTAGCATCCCCAAGCTGTCAACAGACAATACCTGGGTAGTATACATAATTCCTAATATATTTATAGCAAGGCTTCCAGGCCATGCTGAAGTTACGTGACTCCTCCACGTAGGCTAGCTCACACATGCCTCTCACTCAGCACTTCAGGCATAGAGGCAGAAGGACGGGCTGGACTCTTTCCACGATTACCGAGTATACTCTTCCCTACAACCATCACTCCATCTCGAACCTTCAACCCAACAGAAGCATCATCTTCCAGCTGTTCTCTCAGTCCCATTTTCTTAATTGTGTCTCTGAGTATTTTGTACTTCATAATCATGTCTTCTTTGGTTCTTTTCTTATCTAATGTTGTAAAATTTACTTCCTTTTATTTTTTCTTCGTGTATCATTCCACCACTTAGCTCTGGAGCTAGACTCGTATGTTTTTTAATTTATTTTTAGAAAATGTTTGCTGAGGTGAGGGCTCTGTGCTGGTGCTGCATACTCTGTGACAGGCCTGATAAGCTTCACTGACTAGTTTCCAGACGGATATACGTTGCCGAGGTTATTGAGCTATTACGCTCCTTCGGTGATATATGTCTGGTGGAATGGAGAACTTACCCACCGATCTTGTACCTTCCTTAAGACTTCTAGGCTCCAGTCGGTATTCCGTATCCAGTTTCTTCCCCCTCTCTCTCTCCTTCCTCGATTTGCTTTATTTATTTATTCTTGTAAATATATCTCGGTCGCAAACACCGCTAAGTTACCGGGTTTTTTTCTTCTCTGGCTGTTGACAATATTATTACCGTAGTGTGAGTCGTGTGTTGTACCAGGGAAGACTGAAGTCCCTGTAGGTCCCTGGCACTTCTGTTTAATAATGATATACACTCCGACAAGCTGATGAGTATGACATATGTGCAATACTGCGAATCTTTATTGACGAAGGTTTCGCCTGCTCAGGAGGTTATTTGCATAATAATAATAATAATAATAATAATAATAACAATAATAATAATAATAATAATAATAATAATAATAATAATAATAATAATAATAATAAAAATAATAATAATAATAATAATAATAATAATAATAATAAGAGTAATAATAATAATAATTATTATTATTATTATTATTTTATTATTATTATTATTATTATTATTATTATTATTATTATTATTATTATTATATTATTATAGCAACAACAACAACTGGATGTATCTGTGTCACTGTGTGATCCAAGAAGGGCGTCCCAGTACTGCACAACCTCACCAATGAAAGCGTTGAAGATCTGAAGCCAATCTGAAGAGACATTCACAAGTCATCACATGGAAACTAATATTCCAATTTCTTCAATAAAAATGGACAAATTAGGACAAAGTCAGACCGAAACTAAATGAAACTTAGCCACGAAGAAACTTTTCTGTTTTATCTTAGAAAGTCTTCATTTTCTGTTTTATGGGACCAATAGTCCGAGAGAGAAAACTTTTTTATTATTTTCTTATTGAACTGTAAAATGATTGAGAAACGCCTTGATGATTTCAGCAATATATTCCTTATGATGTCTAAGACGAATAAGCTTCTTGGCTCAACGTGTGAAAGAAAACTTGTTTCATGTTTTTGTAGCCTGACCGGGAATGTCTCCGGAGTTTCTGTATATGAGGAATTGAAGGAAGACACTCTGGTAAGAAGAGAGGCTGGGGGGACGGTGCCTTGGCCCGTCGTTATAATTGCTATAAGCATACCACGGCACGGGTGGGGTTAGAACCCATGCAAGTGAGTCGTAAAACTCCAGGCCAGTGCGTAAGCCACTGGGCCAGGTTAACATGATAACATGGGCCCCATAATGGGCCCCATGTTAACCTCCCTATGGTGTATAAATATACCTAGTTGGATGAATCTTATTATAGCCAGCTGGTCTAGTGGCTTACGCACTGGCCTGGAGTTTTATGACTCACTTGTCGTGGGTTCTAACCCCCACCCTTACTGTGCTTTGCTTGCAATCTTGTTATTACGATTTCGTGAGTCATTGTTAGCATTTTTTATTTGGGTTGGATTTAGGGGTGAGAAAGATTGTGGAGCTTATGGGGAGAGGAGACTCATCAACCCTCTCCTTACGTCCCTTTGGCGCCACCACTGATCTTAGACTGGTTATAAATGACCATAATTTTTAAAGGGGTGGACCGGTAAGCCAGCGGAAGGCCTCGGTCAGATGACCAAAAGCTCCAAAGGCGGGTCATCATCTGACTAAGACCCACGTCAGGAAACATTTGTCCTGTTTCCTGACGAACCTTACCTAACCTAACCACTGATCTTGACCTTTAGATAACCTTTACCCCACAAAAGAGACAACAAACGGTGCTAGCGCATCACGCTAACACCTTAACTTCGACAGCAAAGAAAGAGACCATCGTACAGTATGCGGAAAATCATTTCTTCGCAAGAAATCACTGTGAAAAAAAAGAACAGGAGACAAAATGGAAATGCATAAAATGGAGAACGTGAGCGAGAGAGAAGAGGTGGGAGTCAAATCTTTTAATAGATAGAATAGAAGACCCACCGATGAAATGGCTGGGTCGTGTCGAGTGGATGGTCCTCAAAAGCGAATCCAGCTGAATTGTTGAAACCCAGATACCAAAGGAAGAAGAACGGCAGGAAAAAGCCAGGAAATGAAGTGGGTGTAGCAAAGGCCAGCCAGAGAACTATTTGTGTTCTCTGGAAGAGAACTATTTGTGTCCTTCAGTGGAAGGCCTCGGCCAGATGACCAAATCTCCACTGAGAATAAATAGCCTGTATTTCTGAGATGAAATCTGCAACGTTTCGGTTCTTCCTGAACCAGTAGCTAGTCTTTGATAATGGTCCAAGACGGATCAAAACGTAGTCTAAAGTTTCCTTCTCCGAAGTGTGGGTTCGTCCGGCTGAGAGGGTCGTCACGTGACTCAGAGCAACGTCATAATGCTCTCATTAAAACTGACGAAGGAAATACCTTCGTGAGGGTCTGACGGGTAACGAAATTTTGTGTAGAAAAAAATAAACAAATTGAGGAAACACAAGGAAGAAGAGGAAGAAATGAGAGAATAAACTGAAGACACACAGGAAACAAGCTGAAAGCACCAATGTTTCACCTTAATTTCTGTTTTCATAGTACCCGCGTTAATACCCAAAATATTTCTCTGTATTACTGCTATTTTGTCCCAGGATATTACTCAATACTACACAATAATACTTATAATATTGTTCATTAATATTCACATAATACCACGATATTACTCAAAATCCTTCACGATTTTAATCTACATCATTTCACGATATTACTGGCAATATTTTTTCAATATTTTTCGTAATGTTTTCCGCATGTGCAGGTCTGACACAAGCTTCTCTTCCCACGCAGGTAACCTGGGCGACGCTGCTGACACCTCTGACACGCGTAAGTTAATTGACTTCATTATTAATCAGCCTAACATATTAATCCCTGTGTTGTGTCAATAAGCAGTCTCTCCTCTCCTAAGTTCCCCATGAGACCGATGAATAACGCTAACCTTTATGAATAATTAAAGTGTAATGAACACTTATCAATGCTCTTAAATAACCTCCCTTCTGGGATCCTCTTCAGAGGATCCCAGAAGGGGGGTCGGAATATACAGTTCAATCAGCATAATGAGTTTCTGTCTTCATGTGGGTTATTGTTGAGCACAAATCTTCATAATAAATAAGATAAATGATAGGAATCATAGAGTGCCTGAGAAGGGGAGGTAATCGCGATTGACCGTTGATCGTCTTGGTCACTGTTTGTCCCATAATGGAACGTGTTAGCTTCATGTTACAAATTTTGTATTATAGATTCTGAAGTGGTCGCTCATTGAAGAAAACACACAAATGCCAAGCCAGAGTCTGTTGTCACGACGTTTCGTTCTGTGCAGAGTCTACATGTGCATTTATTTGGAGACATTCTCAAACTGGCAGTTAAAAATACGGAACAAGCTGCACAGAAGGAGATATAGCAGCTCAAGGCCTCTCGCAGCGTCACTAGAGCTTCGCAATGACCTTTGTAATACAAGGAAATTAAAGAATGGAATGGGAAATTTCGAAGTTAACCCAGTGCGAAGCGACAGCAGCCGTGTCCAGCACCAGCAAGAAAGATCCCAGGCACAGTGTGTGAGCACCACCCAGTCCGGGTTGAGCACCACCCAGTCCGGGTTGAGCACCACCCAGTCCGGGTTGAGCACCACCCAGTCCAGGTTGAGCACCACCCAGTCCGGGTTGAGCACCACCCAGTCCGGGTTGAGCACCACCCAGTCCGGGTTCAGCACCACCCTGTCCGGGTTGAGCACCACCCAGTCCGGGTTGAGCACCACCCAGTCCGGGTTGAGCACCACCCAGTCCAGGTTGAGCACCACCCAGTCCAGGTTGAGCACCACCCAGTCCGGGTTGAGCACCACCCAGTCCGGGTTGAGCACCACCCAGTCCGGGTTCAGCACCACCCAGTCCGGGTTCAGCACCACTCAGTCCGGGTCGAGGATCAACCAGTCCGGGTTGAGCACCACCCAGTCCGGGTTGAGCACCACCCAGTCAGGGTTGAGCACCACCCAGGCCGGGTTGAGCACCACCCAGTCCGGGTTGAGCACCACCCAGTCCGGGTTGAGCACCACCCAGTCCGGGTTGAGCACCACCCAGTCTGGGTTGAGCACCACCCAGTCTGGGTTAAGCACCACCCAGTCTGGGTTGAGCACTACCTAGTCCGGATTGAGCACTACCCTCTCTGGGTTAAGCACTACCCTCTCTGGGTTAAGCACTACCTAGTCCGGGGTTGAGCACCATTCAGTCCGGGTTGAGCACTACCCTCTCTGGGTTGAGCACTACCTAGTCTGGGGTTGAGCACCACTCAGTCCAGGTTGAGCACTACCCAGTCTGGGTTGAGCACCACCCAGTCTGGGTTGAGCACCACTCAGTCCAGGTTGAGCACTACCCAGTCTGGGTTGAGCACCACCAAGTCTGGGTTGAGCACCACTCAGTCCAGGTTGAGCACTACCCTGTCTGGGTTGAGCACCACCCAGTCTGGGTTGAGCACCACTCAGTCCAGGTTGAGCACTACCCAGTCTGGGTTGAGCACCACCCAGTCTAGGTTGAGCACCACTCAGTCCAGGTTGAGCACTACCCAGTCTGGGTTGAGCACCACCCAGTCTGGGTTGAGCACCACTCAGCCCAGGTTGAGCACTACCCAGTCTGGGTTGAGCACCACCCAGTCTGGGTTGAGCACCACTCAGCCCAGGTTGAGCACCACCCAGTCTGGGTTGAGCACCACTCAGTCCAGGTTGAGCACTACCCAGTCTGGGTTGAGCACCACCCAGTCTGGGTTGAGCACCACTCAGCCCAGGTTGAGCACCACTCAGCCCAGGTTGAGCACCACCCAGTCTGGGTTGAGCACCACTCAGCCCAGGTTGAGCACCACCCAGTCTGGGTTGAGCACCGAGACGACAGTTGTTAAGATAAGCTTTAAGGTATAAATGATAAATAAAAATGACCTCACACGCCACACTGAGAGTGACCTCACACGCCACACTGAGAGTGACCTCACACGCCACACTGAGAGTGACCTCACACACCACACTGAGAGTGACCTCACACGCCACACTGAGAGTGAGCTCACACGCCACACTGAGAGTGACCTCACACGCCACACTGAGAGTGACCTCACACGCCACACTGAGAGTGACCCCACACGCCACACTGAGAGTGACCTCACACGCCACACTGAGAGTGACCTCACACGCCACACTGAGAGTGACCTCACACACCACACTGAGAGTGACCTCACACGCCACACTGAGAGTGAGCTCACACGCCACACTGAGAGTGACCTCACACGCCACACTGAGAGTGACCTCACACGCCACACTGAGAGTGAGCTCACACGCCACACTGAGAGTGACCTCACACGCCACACTGAGAGTGACCCCACACGCCACACTGAGAGTGACCTCACACGCCACACTGAGAGTGACCTCACACACCACACTGAGAGTGACCTCACACGCACACTGAGAGTGAGCTCACACGCCACACTGAGAGTGACCTCACACGCCACACTGAGAGTGACCCCACACGCCACACTGAGAGTGACCTCACACGCCACACTGAGAGTGACTCACACGCCACACTGAGAGTGACCTCACACACCACACTGAGAGTGACCTCACACGCCACACTGAGAGTGAGCTCACACGCCACACTGAGAGTGACCTCACACGCCACACTGAGAGTGACCTCACACGCCACACTGAGAGTGACCCCACACGCCACACTGAGAGTGACCTCACACGCCACACTGAGAGTGACCTCACACGCCACACTGAGAGTGACCTCACACGCCACACTGAGAGTGACCTCACACACCACACTGAGAGTGACCTCACACGCCACACTGAGAGTGACCTCACACGCCACACTGAGAGTGACCTCACACGCAACACTGAGAGTGACCTCACACGCCACACTGAGAGTGACCTCACACACCACACTGAGAGTGACCTCACACACGCCACACTGAGAGTGACCTCACACGCCACACTGAGAGTGACCTCACACACCACACTGAGAGTGACCTCACACACCACACTGAGAGTGAGCTCACACACCACACTGAGAGTGACCTCACACGCCACACTGAGAGTGACCTCACACGCCACACTGAGAGTGACCTCACACGCCACACTGAGAGTGACCTCACACGCCACACTGAGAGTGACCTCACACGCAACACTGAGAGTGACCTCACACGCCACACTGAGAGTGACCTCACACACCACACTGAGAGTGACCTCACACGCCACACTGAGAGTGACCTCACACACCACACTGAGAGTGACCTCACACGCCACACTGAGAGTGACCTCACACGCCACACTGAGAGTGACTTCACACGCCACACTGAGAGTGACCTCACACACCACACTGAGAGTGACCTCACACGCCACACTGAGAGTGACCTCACACGCCACACTGAGAGTGACCTCACACGCAACACTGAGAGTGACCTCACACGCCACACTGGAGTGACCTCACACACCACACTGGAGTGACCTCACACGCCACACTGAGAGTGACCTCACACCCACACTGAGAGTGACCTCACACACCACACTGAGATAGTGACCTCACACACCACACTGGTGAGTGACCTCACACACCACACTGAGAGTGACCTCACACGCCACACTGAGAGTGACCTGACACGCCACACTGAGAGTGACCTCACACGCCACACTGAGAGTGACCTCACACGCCACACTGAGAGTGACCTCACACGCCACACTGAGAGTGACCTCACACGCCACATTGAGAGTGACCTCACACGCCCACTGAGAGTGACCTCACACGCCACACTGAGAGTGACCTCACACGCCACACTGAGAGTGACCTCACACGCCACACTGAGAGTGACCTCACACGCCTAACTGAGAGTGACCTCACACCCACATGAGAGTGACCTCACACGCCACACTGAGAGTGACCTCACACGCCAAACTGAGAGTGACCTCACACGCCACACTGAGAGTGACCTCACACACCACACTGAGAATGACCTCACACGCCACACTGAGAGTGACCTCACACGCCACACTGAGAGTGAGCTCACACACCACACTGAGAGTGACCTCACACACCACACTGAGAGTGACCTCACATGCCACACTGAGAGTGACCTCACACGCCACACTGAGAGTGACCTCACACACCACACTGAGAGTGACCTACCACACCACACTGAGAGTGACCACATCACACACACTGAGAGTGACCTCACACGCCACACTGAGAGTGACCTCACACGCCACACTGAGAGTGACAACGCACGAAACACTGAGAGTGAGCTCACACACCACACTGAGAGTGACCTCACACGCCACACTGAGAGTGAGCTCACACGCCACACTGAGAGTGAGCTCACACGCCACACTGAGAGTGACCTCTCACGCCACACTGAGAGTGAGCTCACACGCCACACTGAGAGTGACCTCACACGCCACACTGAGAGTGAGCTCACACGCCACACTGAGAGTGACCTCACACGCCACACTGAGAGTGACTCACACGCCACACTGAGGTGAGATCACACGCCACACTGAGAGTAAGATCACACGCCACACTGAGAGTAAGATCACACGCCACACTGAGAGTGAGCTCGCACGCCACACTGAGAGTGACCTCACACGCCACACTGAGAGTGACCTCACACACCACACTGAGAGTGACCTCACACGCCACACTGAGAGTGACCTCACACGCCACACTGAGAGTGAGCTCACACGCCACACTGAGAGTGAGATCACACGCCACACTGAGAGTAAGATCACACGCCACACTGAGAGTGAGCTCACACGCCACACTGAGAGTGACCTCACACGCCACACTGAGAGTGACCTCACA